CCCGGCGTCTCTGCAATATATGTTAGACTTCTTCCGATCGGTTGCTCAATCCATCCCATCATCATCACCATCTGCATCGACCTCTCCGGACCTGGACGTTGCTCCCGATTCCATGCAAGGGACTGCTAGGGATATGCTTCAGGACCGTGCCGGTATCATAGTGTTGCGCGAGGATCTCGATTTCTATGCGATACCACCTCGCCCAGATATAGACCAGGCGGAGATGATCGAGGTCAAGCGCGCGGCTGCCAAAGCATTGTTAAAACAAGACGGGATATTTTCTGGGCTGAGAAAGAGCGACGAAGCCGGCTCGACAGAGCAGCATCTCATAGAGATGCTTACTGCAGGGTGAGTTGACTACCCCCACTCATTATCCCAAAAGGTGATACACAGAATGATTTTCGAGTCTAACTGATCGCAGTGGGTTTGATCGTGACGACCGATGGGGCCACCGGGCCCCAGAGCCTAACAAGGCGGTAATATGCAGCCTTGCTCTGGCCAAACTGCGTACCGACATCCGGGGCGACCTATCGAACAACAACGCAGTTGGCATGGCTCAGAAGCTCCTTCTATTTTGGAGGAAACCAGCCAGGAGATGCTGGTGGGAAGGAGTTGAGCTGGACGATGTGGAGGGAGTTGAAGGCAAGGTGAAAATTTGGATTCGTAGAGTATGGACTCTAGAGATGGTGAGTTTGCCCTTACTGCTATCATATATTCCAAAATCTAACCAATATTTGCAGAGCGTAATCGGGCTTCGATAGCCTTCTCGCGGCGGTCATATCGTACCAATGGACTTTTTTGGTCTCCGCCGTTATCCTGCGATTTCTTTCGTCCTCGTCGATGCATATTAGAGTCGCTTTATTAGCAGCCTATTCTTTGTTTTATTTTCCCTGCGTTGCCCAGTGCACATTTGCGGAGTTGATGATATCCCCTATATTCCGAGTCTGCATCCGCAGCCTAACAGACAAGAGGGATGGCGTATTCAATTATCATTGGGTACTGTGTAATCCTGTTTATAGTTTTCATTAGCTGGCCGGACCCCATGCATTGATTTGTATTTTCATCTAATTTCATTCCTGTCCTGCTTTGTCTTAAACCTTTTTGGCCGCTTAGCCCACCCTGTTACTGGGCTTTGACAATGTGAAAGACCCTGTGCCGAGTTGGAAATTTATATAATGTGTCTCTACAATATACGCAAAATAACACGAGGATAACATCGCAGTCGCCCAAGATTTCAATGCCATAAGATGAACTCTGTAGCTCCAAGGTTGTACAAGCTTGCCCTGGATGTCCATCACGTGATCAGATGGCTGGAAGAGGTCTAGCGTGGAAAGGCCGGCAGTTCTGGCAAAACGCGACGAGCAGAAAAGGCGGAGCTCGACCGCGATCACCGTCAAAGAGCAGCTTTGGCTTCAGTTCACCATCCCCATTTCGCAGCCTCAATTCCTGAACCGCGATTTCCCTCAGCAATTGTTCGCTTCAGGCGCTTCCTACCCGCGCAGCGATACCTCGGCCATAATACTTTGAAATCATCGGTTTCGATCCTCTGCTGTCAGCCCTTTCGTCCAGCGGATTGTACGCGGCCCTGTTCGCCGACCGACTTGCGCAGTGTCTGAAAGGGACATGTCCCTGACCAGCTAAATGGCCAACATGTCCCCTCTCAGAGGTTACATCACATCATACCCGCCTCGTGTGCGCCAATATGGCAATGCGCTTCTCACCCCGATCATCCCACCTAGCCAAGTAGGCCCGACTTCACGGACGACCAAGCGAGGAACCGCCGCTATCAATTATGCGGAGGATGGTTACGATGATGAAGACTTTGAAGACAGCGAGGGACCTCGGCGGCCAACTGGGCTAAGGAGCCTTCGACGGGAGGAGTCAACATTTGACAAAGTGCCGCTGGCGGAGAAGCTGGGGAAAGAGATCCACGCCCCTGTTGAGGTCCAAGGGGTCTTTCGCGATTGGATGATCAAGAGGATGTTGCGACCAGCGTATGTACCACCCAGTCTGATTATTTAAGCGATTTCCAGTTTATCTCTGCGACCTTCCTGCTTTTGCTATGGTACTGACTTGGAGTCTTCTCCCTTCGCACAGTTGCGCCGATCAGCTGCAAATTCAAGCGCAGCTCCCTCTTACCCTTATACCTATCCGAATTGATCTGGAGGTCCCAGCGCATCAACCCTTAGAACCATTCCCTTTGCCGCGAACAGTCCTCGATCCCAGCATCAACCCTACCTTGCCCGCCTACAGACGGCCGGAGGCGCTGCCTGCCTATCGCATCAAAGACACGTTCCTTTGGAATCTTCACGAGGCTCTTGCGACTCCCGAAGAATTTGCCGTAGGGTTCGTTCGCGATATGGATTTACCGAATCCACAGGCCATGACGATGGCTATTAGCAACCAGATCCGTCAACAATTGGAAGAATATGCCGGCGTTGCCCTGCATCCGTTATTCCAGAGCGTACAGCCGAAGCCCCCAGCTCCGCAGATTGGCCTGTCACGAGATGTATCTGCTACACCTGTTTCCACCCACGCCGCGACACCTGACAGCAGACCCAACCAGGTAACGGTGACCAAAGAACCTCTCGTGAACGACAGCATACTAAACCCGGACGACGCGTATCGGTGCATGATCAACTTGAATATCAACTTGCAAAATAAACTTTACACGGACAAGTTTGAATGGTCTCTATTGCACCCTCCAGGCATGGCAGAGGAGTTTGCCAGGATTACGTGTGCGGACCTTGGTCTGGGTGGGGAATGGGTCGGAGCCATTGCGCATGGCATTTACGAAGCCGCTCTGAGATTAAAGAAAGAAGTATGCGAAAGTGGTGGACTTATCAGCGGCATGGGTGGTTATGGTAACGAGATCGACAATCAAGCTGCCAACGGCGCGGAGGCGGGCTGGCGTTACGATCCCGAGGGACTGGGCGACGAATGGGAACCCAAAGTGGAGACACTGTCAAAGGAGGAAATCGAGAAGCGTGAGGGTGATCGCGAACGTCAAATTCGTCGTCTACGTCGAGAGACGGCCAGATTCTCCTCCACTGCAGGCATAACGCCCGACGCCTCCCGACAGGGCAGTGGTTACTTTGACGTCGACAGTGAAACGCCGCTAGGAAGAGGCGAGCGGAGCAAACGAAAGAGACGATTCCGCAGTTTGAGTCCCTCGGGGCGAGGAGGAACCCCTGGAGGACGAGGGACTCCGGACACTGGTTCAGGAGCTGGCTATGGTGGAGGTGGCGGTACACTTGCCGACTGGTTTGTCCTACCTTTCATATATCTTCATAGTGCACATACTGACCACCTTATTTGTTTGATAGGGAGCGACAAACTTGGAGGTGCACCAACTGCATGGTCTGGGGTACGGCGGTTTGGGCCGTACGAGATGGCCCGGCAGGCCCAAGAGTAAGATCTATATGCCCCATCTCTAACTAAGTACTTGCTGACTTAACTGCGACAGACACTCTGCCACAACTGCGGTCTTTTGTACGAACGAGACAAGGTGGCTCCAGAGTGGTCCAGAGATCTACACCGTCACGATATGCCGATCGGCCGGTAGTAGACTTGGTGTATTGCATAAGCGTAGATATTTCTCTTTGACCCCCGGCTCTACGCTCTGTACCTATACGGCAGAGGTGAGATCGATTCCTCTCCCTGCTACGATACCTCAAGCAGGGGTCAGAGCTAGAGTCTGATTCCATGTTGTTTCTTTCTCTCCACAGGCCGGCTATTTCGTGACATATCCTACGAAGTATCCCTGACGTGATGAATCCTCGTCGAAAAAGGCCCCCAATCTCCCACCAGCCTGCCTTGTGTTTTCCCCGTGCCGAAACAAGCACATCACACACCCCCAGTCAATGTACTATCTGATTGATGATATCTCTAATGAACCTCTATTCTATAGTTGGGGCAGGCGTTTCTCATTGTTTCCATACTTTCAACCTTCTTAACTACTTTTTCATTGCCTTTTGCTTTTTACTTTCTTACTCTCCCTAATATGTTCTTCTTGATGGACTGGTACCTACCCTTGCTTCTTTGGCGATAGGTTCGGGCCACTTTTATTTCATTCGCCATCATCTTTGGTTGGGTTTGTAGGGACTCTAAAATATTCGGTGATCAATCCTACTTTTGCTTCAGTATGGTGTGGGTATGTTTGGGCTGGTATACTACGTTACGAGGATCTGGTGGGCACTTTTCTGTTTTTTTTTTCTTTCTCTTTTTGAAGTATGTATGGTATTCCTGCCTATTCTGGTTTTATTGTCCTCTTTGTGTGGGCGATCAAACTGGACTTTCATGTGGTAGCTACCTCAGTAGTCTTGTTATCGATTGATGTGCTGTATGATAGTTTCGGCGTCATAGCAGAAGATGCGAAGAGAGTTTATATGCCTGGAAAGTTACTCGTCTTGAACAAGTTACTATTGACTGTATTGTTCTGTAACGTCATGCTAGGGAACATCATTTGAGGCAGCTGAGGTTGGTCGTTGACGACTTAGCACTATATATATATATACATACATCTTACTAGAGGTGCTCGGTTAAACCATCATCCTACTAATCATAGTATGAACAAGACCACACGCAATGCAAACCACCTTAAAAACACACGAACATGATGATATTCTATTCGATAACCACAGGCAATCTAAACTAGTAAACTAGAACTAACAAACTAACCCGGAAAGAAATTGCTCTCCATCCTAGCTATTATATTTCAATCCATTCCATTACGTCCCCCACCAGCCAGTCGTATTTTATGTCCTATTCCCACATAGCATTATCCAATCCATCAAGAAGAAGAGATAAGAGAAAGCAAGTAAACAGCACCAGATGAAAACACAAACAAGACACAAATATCAAAGAGGCAAAAAGAAGATGAAAGAGTACACAGAAGCACAGAGAAAAGAAAAAGAGACCGAAAAGGCCACCATTTACATCGATTGCCCTACCCAATCGATAACAAACAACGCGCCTGAGAAGAGAAGCAGATAAGCACACTACCGCGCCCTCTTAGCAGCAGCAGTAGTAGCTACATCCGGCGGTTCCTTCGTCCCAGAAATCAAAATAATTAGCCATAAGCCCACAACCCAAACACCAGTTCCCAAGCATAAACCAAGCGAGAACAATTTAAGGGAAGAAAAGAATATTAGAACTTACAGAAGAAGCCCTCCTCTTCCTCCTTAGCACATTCATGCCCATTCCTCTCTGCTGTCCACCCATTCCCACACAGATTACATTCCCACTTCCCAGGATTTTGATCCCAGTGTTGATATTCAGCGTAATAGAAGGTGATGGTGATGCATTTGCATTTTCTGCTGCTGCACCGGAGTTGTCGGTGGAATTGAGATGACCCGTACGATGCAAGGCAGTAATGATGGATGTGGCCATGTCTGTTAATTTGGTACGGCGCTGGTATGGGGGTGATTGCGGGACGGTGGAGGTGGAGGGAGCGGGTGATGCCTGGGGATTGAGGGCTGGAGCTGGAGCTGTCACTGATGGGAGGATGATGCTGTTTGCGTTGCCCTGAATGCTCATTGATGCGTCGATGTGGATGGTTATGAGGCTGTTTTGGTCTGTCTCTCCACGAGAGGCAGCATACTCGGCTTCAAATTCTTTTGGGGGATTGTGAGCGGAAGGAGAGTACGGAGGTGGCGGTGTAATCGTGTTTGTCTGGCCGGAATCATCTTGTGAATCGGCTAATTTGTGGAATTGGTGGAGGATGGATTCAGATGGTGGAAGCATTGTGAGTAGAATTCGGTCTGATAAGCGCCAGAAGTCATAGAGAAGAATGCAAAGATTGGTATAGATGAGATGCACTGTGGCAACGAAAGACTGTCCTACGGAAAGGAGATCGGACTTAAAAGAACAGGATGACAGGATGAAAGGATGGGTGAAATGAATATTTGGTTGGGATTGGTCACTGTCGCTAAGAACAATAGCATGCAATTGACATAAATAAACGTCATCACAAAACATCTATCCAGGTAACAAGGATGCATCATTAAACCAACTGTCTCTCGACACCATCCACTAGCAGGCGAAAGCGACACTCTATTGCGCCAGAATGGCTTAGGAGTGCATCACACAGCCCGTAGTGGTCAACATTGTCTCACAACAATGCCACCTGCGTCTCGAACGTCTCGAATTGACGTGCTCTGGCTGTGATATTGTTCTCCTCCACCAATAGGCGGAATAGGGTCACGTGTCGATTCAGAGAAAACAAGGGTCCCTGTGCGGTGCCACCCCGGAGTTTCAAAGGATGAATAGAGCATCTGAATAGACACAGCCAATTCTGACGGATTAGAGTCTGACACTTCTAACCAACAAGGACTGCTCGGCACTTGCGTGATCCCGACAGACCCTAATTCAACCGGCTAGTCCGATACATTCCCTTTCCTAGCCCCAAGAACTGCCCCAAGAACTGAATTGGAAATTCAAATGATTACTTTAAGCCCAGCGGTCCCCATGATGCCATTCCCCGTGTACAGAGTAATCACCGCTAGGGCCGAAGCCACCAGGTGAGCTTTCCGGATGATTTCCACTTATTGAGGTGGAGTTTCCTTTAGACGAAATCCCATGCATGGCGCCTATTCGGTGAAGCCCGGTTAGCTTTTCCAGCCTATCATCCTGACCCATGGAGCGAAGTAGTAATGGGCCGCTTGGCACGTCACAAACTTACTCGTAGTGTTGGGTGTAGCGTCTCCGCGGGCATGATGGTCCGTATCTCCTACTATCTGCCCTTGCCGTTCTTTCCAACGTTCCGGATAATATTTGCCGCCTGGGTGCAGTGGATGCGGAATCTAGATACTGATTAGCAGAAACAAAGGCCGGCGCGCAAAGACTTGATTATACCAGCGTTCGTTCCACGCCAGCCGAATTTGATTTCATTTCACGGACTGCTGGTACTGACTTCGCGAAATTCATCCCCCTCGATTTGGACCTCACGGTCGCGAATGCGGCGCATCAAAGCAAGAAAGTTGCTTTCTTTGAACTTCTGGCTTTGATCATGCTTGACACTGTCTAGAAGCTGCCCCGCAGTTCGGGCGAGCTCGTCCGCATCATTCACTCGTGCCTGTTGATCATTCTTTTCTGTCTGGGGAATGGTATCCGATCCGATCTTGATCTTCTCTTCCGTGCTTTCAGCCGTAACATGATTTGTCTCTTCCACGACTTCCTCGGCGTGGACAGGTGTAGTCTCGGTTTCCTGCGACATCATGTCTGCCCGCGCCTGCTCAAATGCAGCTTCAAACGCCGATTCATCGAATGTGTCGGCCATCGGTTGCTGGTTTGCTGCGGTGGCTTGCGCAGGGGGGAAAGCAGTACCCGTCATAGGGAAGCGAGGTGCAAAGGATGGCTGAAGCCCTTGAACATGTGGCTGATGCTGCTGGAAAGAGGGTTGTTGCTGCTGAGCGAACTCGTTCTGCCAACCCTGGTGTGACATGGCTGCCATAGGCGCTACAGATGGTCCTGATGTTTGATGGAGAGAATGCGAAGGTCCCGATATATGCATATTCTGAAAGTCTGCCGCCCAGTTTGACGATTCTGCCGGGCGTGATACGGGGAAATGATGAGAGGGAGGAACGAAAGGACCGGCATGCTGTACATCGGGAAGGGGCGCTCCTGCTAGACCGGACTCGAATGCGGCAAATTCGGGATCAAGAACCCCATGGCTTGGATTTTGAGATCGAAACCCCTAGTAATTACATGAGTACAATTCAGTTAAACACGCTCACGGCGAGAGACTCACTTGAGAAGGCGATTGTCGAGAAATGATTCTATCTTGCTGGAGGGTACGATCAACAGATGCATGCTTTTGGAAGTTCTGCAGCGCATTCGAGGGACCACACAGAGCATCACTCATGGTGCCGAATAGGTTGAACGCGAGCGGAGAGGATGAAGCGTGTCGGATTGCTGTGTTGAGGAGAACAGGATATACAATAAGTGTAGTGAACAGGCAACTGATAGTAGTCTTTAGGAATGCAGGATGTATATACAAGAGCGAGCAAAGAAGTGAGTCCAACAGAAGACAAGAAGAGAATGAGAGGAGGCAAAGGCAAGTAAGGAAGAGTAGCAACAGCCAAGGAGACCAGACCAGAGAACAGGCCGCGGGGCAGAGCGACCGAGGACTACCGAGGCCCCCGGATCACGTGTATATGAGCATGACTGGAGATGGCTGACTGAGCCGATAAGATAAGATCGGGCTGCGGCTGACTTGCGAAACGGACAAGCTGGCGGTGTTTTGCTGCTGCTTCTCCTGTTGCGTGTTGATTCGGCCCTCCACCACCGCCTTCTTACCCCCCAAGAACCCCCCTAATACTCCCCGGCAGGGCCACCCACGAGCTTACGTCCCTGTTTACCCTATAGAGTCGATCTTAATTCCGAGCAAAAAGTTGATCAATATGGTGTGTCCCCCAACCTCCCCCTCAATGGTCTCAGGCGATTTGCCCATGAACATTGCTAACGTCCAGGTAACTAGGCTGCTCAAGTAATCTCCAATTCCGGACACGACGAGATGATTGTACGTGAACCGAGACAAGCCCTCCTACGCCATCGTGACAATGGTTTCGTCCATTCCCGTGTGGTCCATGAAACTGACCGCAGCGCATAGCACGATGCCGGCCTGGACTACTACGGCCGCAGATTGGCAACATGTTCATCGGACAAAACGATAAAGATCTTCGAAATTGAGGGAGAGACACATCGATTGATTGAGACATTGAAGGGGTGAGGATCCAGAACTCCCTGGTCATCTTACGCGCCATCGATTCTAACCTCCGGCCGTGTGTGAACAGACATGAAGGAGCTGTGTGGTGTGTGGCTTGGGTACGTCATAATGGCATTCTTTGTCAAAACTGTCCTATTGAACTATCTATCTGACTCTGGACTTCTCTAGGCGCACCCTAAGTTCGGAACTATCCTCGCTTCCTCTTCGTACGATGGGAAGGTGCTCATCTGGCGCGAACAACACCAGAACGCCACGTCACCCGTCGCTGGCGGCGCTTGGACGAAGGTGTTCGACTTTTCTCTACACACCGCTTCAGTGAACATGGTATCCTGGGCTCCGCATGAGAGTGGCTGTCTCCTGGCTTGCGCCTCCTCAGACGGACATGTTAGCGTTCTCGAATTCCGTGACAACAGCTGGACTCACCAGATCTTCCACGCCCACGGTATGGGTGTGAACTCTATCAGCTGGGCACCTGCCGCCGCCCCTGGCAGCTTGATCAGCTCCAACCCCGGACCAGGCCAGCAGCGGAGATTCGTCACTGGTGGAAGCGACAACCTGCTGAAGATCTGGGACTACAAGTATGCACCATGAGCCGCTACGCTACAGTGCTTTAACATGAACTAAGCTGACCCTTACTCTTCTGCAGCCCGGAAACCAAGACCTACAACAACACGCAGACTCTGGAAGGCCACTCCGACTGGGTCCGGGATGTCGCCTGGTCGCCTAGCGTACTTTCCAAGTCCTACATCGCCTCTGCCTCTCAAGACAAGACGGTCCGGATCTGGACTTCCGATGCGTCAAACCCTGGCCAATGGACCAGCCAGCAACTTGATTTCGACACTGTCCTTTGGCGCGTCAGCTGGAGCCCTAGTGGAAACATCCTTGCTGTGAGCGGTGGCGATAACAAGGTCAGCTTGTGGAAGGAAAACCTCAAGGGACAATGGGAGAAGGTAAAGGATATCGAGGAGTAGGCTTCAGATTTTCATTTTCCTTAAGTTTCAACTTTCATATCTCATGTGTGATAACGGATAAATTGGGTTCCTGCCATGTATTTCAACCGACCCCGACGTTGTCAAAAATCAAAAACGAGCTCAAAAACAGGCAAAACATCATCGTTTCCAGAAGATAAACGGACCCTTGTCCAGCGTCTCCAGCAGATCTATCCAAATTCCGATCATTATTCTACCTTCCGGTAGGATCACGCCCTCGTAAACCTGTACCAAGTAAAAATCAGACTCAAAGTCCGGTGGCGGCCATTTTGCCTCGAAGAACCATGCGTTCCCATCCAAAGCGGGCTCTATGCCATTATGAGCAGGCGGAACGGGCAGCTGCTCTTGATCCCATTGATATATCACGAAGCAAATGCGACGCCAGCCAGAGAAGCCCCCCTGAAAATCGGCAATTGGTTCACAGAACCCTCGCACCAGATCTGGGGGCTGATCGACGTAATCAGGTGTCCTCCGTATTCCACGGAAATATGATCGGTCGAAGTTCAGAGGATCAAGAGGAACTACTGATTGAAGTATAGGTGGCCAGTTCAAGGGGTTGGGATCGGGTTTCACTAGAAGAGACTACACAGCAGGCATTGGATCAGCTGGGTTCATATCCCTTGAGCTTTCGTGCAATCACCTGAAACCGGACTTGTGCACAATTAGTATCCAGATCCGCGCATGTCTGGCGATCCTCGAGGATCTTCAGAGATCTCGGGTATGGGTGGACGCATGCTACACACAATTTAACGCTCGCTTTTCTTCATGGTATGGTGAAATAACAGGTGAGTGACTGACATGCATAACCCATCCATGGCAAATCGTCATCCGAAGGCGCAAGCTCACCCCATGATCTGGGCTTGTAGCATGGAGCCAGATTAATATAAGAAGCGTGAAAGGTCGCTTCAGTCGGGCAGAGAAGATGACGAAGCCAGAAGTTGCGTATGTGAAGTAGCTTCTTCAGGTCGAGCTTGTTTTCATGCACAATCAGTCTGCTGTTCTCAGCCCTGTAACCATATACGACGCCAACGTCATAGTCTGTCCTCAGACACTGAACAGACATTAGAGGATCCAGAGCTAAACCGGTCAGGCACTGTCAGAGTCAGTTTATACGCTCTCTCATACATGAAATCTGTAGTGCTTACCAACTGGGTTGCACAGAAGAGATCGGAAGGCAGGCCTGCATCCTTCTGACTGTAACCACTAACGGGCCTGTTTAGAAATTCAGAGCTAGAGAGTATGTCTCGAATCTTTTGGTGGTTCTTAGAAGTGAATGGCCCGTTGGATTCCAGAAGACAGTATGATTCACGTAGCAGATCTCGTAGGACTTCCAGCCAGAGAGTCTGCGCCTCCTTTTGGCCGAATTTGAAACTGATGGATTGTGAGAGGACAATGGCTCGAATTTGATACTCAACTTTGACTTCTTCAGAAGCATAATGTCGAGTAACGTCGTAAATATCAATGAAGCGGCTACGCCAGATGGAAGAATGACCCGGGAGTGTTTTTGCTGCTAGCCAAGGACAGCATTGGGCGAAATTTACCATATCGATGTCGCGAGGTAGCAAGTAAGCAATATACTGAATGATCTATGGACAACCTTAGCAGTGCAATCATATTCATTGGTTATAGCAGGAACTGTCACCTCTGTGGGCAAGCGAAAAAGGGAATAACGAGAGCAATTTTCCGCAGTGGTCGGTATTTGGGAGCTCATCTTCGTTATGCTTCTTTGTAACTGAGAATGCCTATCAGAGGCTATAAGGTAGTGAAAAGCCGCTTGCCTTATGTTCTCGAGCCACGCAGGAAGATGCTTATGATGATGGATTTACACTTTCCTCCGCGGATGTATACGAAGAGCCAGAGAAGGCCGCTGTGCTTAATGTATATAGCTCCCATAAAGACCGAGAGTGAGGAGGGATTGAAAGAAGAGCGAGCCTGTGTGCAATTATATGACAGGCAGCTCTTATGTCACGAGATTATGTTTCAAACCTCAGTACAATGACCAGTTTATGCTCGCTTGGATGATGGTACTGCTACATGCCAACCCAGAGTGATATAGCTCTATTCGAAGTGAAGTAGTATATGCAGCACATTCGAGACAGGGGATTTTGCTCTGTCAATTTGACCTCACTACGGTAGACCTTGCATGTATGCACTCCTTTCCTCCTTGCAAGATGTGCGCTTCTATAGGCCAAGTAATGCATAAATAACCCTTCAATCTAAATCCAAACATAAAGTTTTAAACGCTCGTTGATAAAAATGTCTATAAATTCCGCACGCGGGTCATGTATGAGCTGAAGCCAGCCACTTAGTTCACGCCAGGACGACCACGACGTCTTCTAAGGCTTTCCTGAACACCCCAGCCATCTGATAAAAGTTCCTTGACTTCCTCCAAGCGAAGCCCGCTCATCTCGGGATAGATAGCGTAAATACCAAACCAACCGAACACGCATACGGCCGCATAGGCCGCGAATGTCCATCCAGGAGAGAGCCATTCCATCATAGGCAGGAAAGTTAGACCGACAACAAAATTTGAGCCCCAATTCGTTGCGGTAGCCAAGGCTGATCCCAGGGAGCGTACATTCAAGGGGAAAAGCTCTGATTGCTGCCAAGGCACGTTTCCAAGTCCGAAAGCATAAGCTCCCACATAAACGGTGAGACATATCAGGATAACAACAGGGAGGAAAGCGCTATCACTTGTGGCATCTTCTGCCCGTACTCTCGACTCGGGGTTTGGCATCTCGACTGAGCCGAACGTAAAAGCGCAAGCAATGAGGGAGAGAGCCATCACTGGCACTGAGTACAGAAGAATGCGGCGCCGGCCAATCCTATCGATATAGGCAAATGCGAGTAAGGTGAAGAAGAAGTTGGTCAACGCCACTGACAATGACACTAGAGTTGGGGACGAGAATGACAACATGGAGAAAATTGTCGCTGAGAAATACATGAGGCTATTGAATCCACACAGTTGTTGTGTGGCTTGCAGCATAACCGCTATGATCAACGCCCTCCGATTACCACCGACGAGGACTAAGTGGCGAGCACACTGCGTAACGTTCGTCAGCCACTGCCAGTTTCCTGTTGAGGGCTTATTAGTTTGAGTCAACTCTTCCTCCTCCTCGGCCACTTCTTGCTGGATATCACGCATAA